ATTTCTTCAACGCAAAAATATAACGCCTTTAACGAGTATAGCTACATAAATTAACAAACCTTAGAGTTTTTGTTCTATATAACAGGAATAAACGTATGAGGTACAAATTAATGAAATTATTGTAGAGAAAGCAGTATAGGTTTGGAATATTCAAATGTAGTCGTGGTACTACTTACCCTGTCCTTCACCCTTAATTTTTTTAATTAATGTTGAGATTTTTTTAGCCGGTCCTAGTTTTAACTCAGCTTGCATAAGTTCATCAACGTTTAAGCTGAGAAAAGCTTCGCCATCAATTTCTTGTTCATGAAGAATATTGAAATGCCTATCCTCAAGATCTAAGTCTTGTTGTATAAAAAATTTATCAGATCCTCCATTGTCCTATAACCTTCAACTTTATTGATTGTAGGAAGTGAAATTGTTTTTTTAGTAGAAGTAAACATATTCACGTATTTAGTTTTTGGATATGAAAAATAGTACATTTAAATTGTTGTACAATAAATAGTTATGTATTGTTATATGATAAAATAACAATACTGATATTGTATTTTTCTAGAATTTGAATAAAAAATTTATGCATGTGGGAACTGTGATTTATTTAAAATATTTCTTTATGTTATGGAATTTGTTTAATATCATTCAAGCAAATATCTTGCATATTAGTAATTGTCACCTCCTTTTATTATATAATTTATTACTTGATGTAATAATTAATATAATAGATAGATGCGACAACTACTAATATGCAAGACATTTGACAATACTTGTAAGAGAACTGCTGAACCACATTGCACAATACATGTGTTGCACAATGAATATGCTAGAAGTTCATACAATGATCATATCTAAAACAAATGTATATTACATGAACGTGATGTAAGGTTGGAATCATATGAGTATATCTATTTGCACAACAGATTATGTAAGGTCCAGTGGCTGTCTACTGCATGATCATACATGTTCAATGATGATCATGTGTGTTTATCCAATCAGAAAAGATCTAAAATCATTATGTGAATTACATGTTTTGTGTAAAATAAATAATTTTTAAATTTTTAACAGTTGTTAACTGTTAAACCTATTGATTGATCAAGTTTTTTATATATGTTAAATGTATACTATTTTGCATAGGAGGTCTAAGATTATCTATTTGCTCAGTTAAAAATACGATATATATATAGCTAATAGAAAATAGAAACTTTGAAAAAATTAGTATACAAATACATTCATTTATTCTTGAATTGTTATGTAATATACATATTTTCTATTTATATTGTTTTTAAATTATTCTTATATTAACTTATTAATATGAATTAAATAAATATAAGCAGAAATTATAAATCTAGATATAATCAAAAAAATAATATTAAAATGTTCTGATTTAATTTAAAATTCTAATATAAAATCTTAAGAATTTAAAAAAACTAATTGGATCTAAATATAGAAATAACAATCTATTAAATTTATATAAACAATTTATGATATCTAATTTTTAAAACTATATATCTTGATAAATATTTATTCAAATTTAATAAATTTATTATTATTAGAATTAGAAAAATCTATTTTACAATTTTTTATTAATTTTTTAAAAGCTGTTTACTTAATAAAATATTTTTTTATTTTTAATTAAAAAAAATTTTACTATAAGTTTTATATATAATTTACAAATTGTATCCTCTACTCTTAAGTTTTTTAATAATAAGTTGAGTAAATTGAGAGTAGAAAATTTTTTTGTATTTTATTTGAATAGAAGCAATTGAGATATTGTCTTCAAGCTGAATAATATCAAAGTAAATGAGTACTCAGGCTGAGTAATTTGTATTATTAGTTTAGAATAGAATTTTATGCATAGCTTGAATTAGTGAGAGATTGAGGATTTTATCATTTTAAGTAGTATAATGAAATAAAGCTTTGAAGAATTGATAGAAATATTATATTTGACATTTTATATTATTTTCAGTATTGTTATTTTTTATAAATTCCTCTTCAGCTATTTTTGTATGCTAACAGAATAGGTTAGTTAGAGTAGAAATTTTAACAAAAGTAGGGTATAAGTTATTTTTTTGGAAGATAGAAAAGTCAAGTTTTTATAGCACTCAAAAATTTTTGTTTTGAGTTGTAAATTTGATATATAAAGCAAAGAATCTTTTAAAAGATTCAGTAAAGAAAAGTATAGAAATATTTCAGAAGTTGTGTTTAGTATCTGTAAGAATAAAAAAGTATTTATTGTCTTTATCTGTATTACAAATATATATATAAAAGAAAGCAGCTTTTTTGCAAAGCAAAGTATGTTCTCGAAGAGAGCTAATAGAGATAATATCAAAAGTATTAGATAAGAGTTTTTTGTATTTATTTGCATATTTGGTTGCAATTTGGTATTTTAGAAAGTTGTAAACTTTGGTTTTGTTGATATTTTCAAATTAGTATTTATATATATCAAAGAATTTTTTGAATCGTTTATTGAAGTCTTCTTTAAAAAATTTTAGTAATAGAATTTAAAATATATTAAGAAATAATTTGTATAGATATTAAATAAAATATTAATATTGAATTTGTTATCTACAATTATGTGAATTATTTGAAAAGAATTGCAAAAAAGGTGGCCCAGCCTCTATTGGTTGTACGATTACTAGTATACCTAGTATTGGGAAGACACATTTTGGCTTATATCTTCTCTTTTACATTCACTACAATATCTTAATGCTATAATAGTCTAGCAATGTACCAAAAATATTTGTTATCAATTCTTACCTGATAGTAATGTGCAAGGAGGGAATATTAACCTGTTTCACAAGACACTGAATAATCCTGATAACTTCTTTCTCGTTGATGCACAAACTTTGAAATTCCTATATCATGCCTATATAATTCTGCTTATATCACCAAAAACAGAAAGATATAATGATGCTGTTAAATAGTCAGGATTTATGAAATACTTCATGCCAATTTGGAGTCAAGAAGAAATCTTCACACTTTGGGATATTCAATACAAGAATAATAAAAATCAAAATGGTGAAGAGTTCACATTTGAATTATTCGAACAATTGTTAAAACAGTGAGGTTCAATACCTAGATTAGTTCTTTTAAAGTGGGATAATATATCATTTCGAAAGGAATTCAATAGTCTAATTGATAAATCTAACTTAAAAATATGTATGGACTCTCTTGATTCATCTGGCATGCCTACAAATATAGCTAATAGTAAACTTGTACATCTTGAAGTACTATCAAACTTTATAGAAGTTGTGTGTCATCCTGCTTCTCAAAAGGTATTTGACATAATGATCGAGAGATATCTGAATAAATAAAGGATTGATATTCGCAATTTTATCACAAGCAATGATGATCCAGTAATTGCTATATTTCAAGGTAATCTCTTCGAAAGTTATGCCCATCGGGAATTGCAAAGAGGTAGTGTGTTTAGGGTGCGATGTCTGAATGACAACTCAGGGGTAACCGAAAGAAATATCAAGAATCTGGAGTGTAAATTATTCTCTACACTAGATAATGCAAGTAAAGAATGTTATAACCGACCAATATCAAAGATATTTAAGTCAATTGATTCTTTTAGCCTTGATAGCAGAACTTTGAACTTGTACCAAATTACTATCTTAAATGACCATGGCATTAAAGTAGAGAACTTTAGTTATAATTTATAGTTCGTAATTATCACTTTTATTACTAACTTAGTTTGTACAGACAAGAGAACTGAAAGATCTACTTACATGAATGAATTATGCAGATAACACTAATTTATACTTTGTCATGCCATTAAACATTTTTGAAACATTTCTTCTGCAAAAATACAAGACAAATAATGATGAAGATTCTAAGACAATTCCAACATAAATTAACAAAAAAAAAATAACCCAATATGCATTAAAGATCGACTTGGAAATTAATAATAACAGTGCAAAAAAATGATCTAGTGATGCAGTATCAAAAGATGATGAAAATGAGAAAGCATTAAGGGAGGGAATGGATAACAAAGATGTAAAAAAATGGAAAATGAAAAAGACTGATACGAATTCGGGAGTCAATGGAGGTTAAGAAGCTTCAGGAAGCAACAGACTTCAAGGAAGTGTAATTTGAGATCAAGTAATTTGATAGACAATGAACGTGAGGATGAGTCAAAGAGTGACACTGTGAAAAAACAGAAAACAAAAAAGGATGAAAGTAGTGAGACGTCAAAGGAAGGAAATAAAAAGAAAGACATGAAAAAATGAAAAAGAAGGTAAAAAATATAGTTATATTGACATTTAAAGTTGTGGATTAAACTTTATTATAATTTCATTAATCTGTTAATCAAATTAATCTCTAACCAAACATTTTAGAGATTTATTTTTTATAAGGTGAGCAAAAAAATTTCTAGATTGTTGGTCAATCCATTTTAGGAGGGATAATTTTAAAATAACCTTAAACTAAGCTTTATATCACTATTCTGTAATATACTTAAATGTTTCTGCATTAATAAAGCAATAAAGCTAGCCCTGATGGCCCATTTCACATACATAATTAGTTTACTTTTGCATGTGTATTTCGTGAATTTATCAAAAAATAATATGCATTACAGGCTAGTCTCATTTTTCACTTGTATTAATAAAAAATTTTCTTAGCAAAAGTGATCTGTGTGAACAATTGTTCACGTGCATATGATTTTTTATTTATTTTGAATTAGATAGCTATGCGACGTCATCACGCAAAACCAGGAACAGAAGATCTAAACAGAGAATTGCAACAAAATATTTATATAGTACAGTAGATATATGAGTTGCATAAAGAGGATTAGAAATAAGTATACTATGATATAATAATTTATAAAATTTTGTAGTAATATTTATAAGTTTTGATAAAATAAATTGTAAATAATTTAAACTTTATGAATTGATCGATTGTAAATAATTTTGTTTGTAAAATAATTGTAAGTAAAATAAGATGATTACAAAATGATTGATTAGAACTGATTATCTTATTATATAAACTATAAAGTAGCTTCGCCGCTATGATTAAAGTGTTAAAAGTGTATAATATTATATAGTATGTAAAGTTTATATCTAGTCATGTATAAGTTATTGATACAATAAATAAAAGAGTTAGGAATTTGAGAGTAAATAATGTTCAATATGACTTACAGATGTATAGAAATAATATACTTGGGTTATTTATATTTTTGATATCTTATTTGCGATAAATGTTAAATTGATTTCAGTTAAATATTCCTACAATGCTATTTACAATGCGAAGTTTGTGTTTAGTAATACAGGCCTAATGGCTGGGCTGATGGGTGAGCAAACTCTCAACCCGCACCTTTGTGGGCTAAGCAAGTTGACATAGGGTCATATTTTTTTTGGTAAATATATTTGTAATATAGATGATGGTTGGAAATGGTCAATAAATTAATTTGATGATAATCAAGTACAATTATTTTTCAATTACTTCTTCCAAATTCAAAATAATACAATTTTTCGATCTCTATTTTTTTTTTTTTACTCAATTCTGATTCTATAACTTTTTGGTTTTCATATGTTTTTCATTAATGATTTCTTTTTTTTAATATATTATATTGATTCTTATATGCTAACTAACTTTAATTTGGTGATAATAAAACATGCATCATATTTATCGAATCCTGCAAGATAATGAGACAAAATGCCTTTATATGGAAAACAACGTAATATTATATAAGTAGCTGCGCAACACAGTTGCGCAAAACCAGGAATGGGAAAATTGGTATATTGTCATATCAGATATTATGTATAGATAGAACTTTAAGAGTATTTTTTATATACATGTTAGTTTTTGATAGCATATATATTATTTAATTTTTGTAAC